CTGTCATACAATTCTCTTTGTTAACAAAGGACATGCTGCTGGCCAACCATGGAGAAGGTGTGCACCTGGAGTTGTTTTTTGTTTTGGGTTTTTTATGGGTTTTTCATACAGACTTGGAATTGAACCGAGAGCCTCCACACTGAGCTATACCCAAACCCTTTTTCTTTATTTTGTATTTTGAACGGGTCTCGCTAAGTCACTGGGCTGCCCAGGCTAGGTTTGAACTTACGATCCTCCTGTTTCAGCCTCCCAGAATGCTGGGATTACAGGCGTGCATCACCACATCCAGCAGTTGTTTTCTTGGAGAAGAGATGGATGTATATCGATCTGTGTGTGGGCTGTGGGCTGGCCAGCTGTGAGCTGCCTGCCAGAGGAGCCAGGCCCTGTGCTCAGCAGTGACCAGCCTATGCCCCTGTGGTTCCTACATAGCAGTAAGACTCCAGGACCCAATGGAAAGCTAAAATCCAAATGTCTGTTCTTCCCACCAGGCAGAGCAACCCGAGATGGAAATTTGCTGAGAGCAGCAGAGGCTCTGGGGACGACTGGTAATTTGAGTTTCTCAGAGGCAGACAATATGTTGGTGCCAGATGTCATTTTAAGCTAGAAACCTATGGTTATGTTGCTTAGATGATCTTCTTTATTTACTCTAACCCATAATCCGGAAGCTCTCCTAGATTGAATGTGGGCCATTGAACATTCCTGGGAGAGCCGTAGCTCAGTATTTTTGGGTGTTGCTGTTTCCAGCTACGGGATCACATTTCTGCCTGCAGTTTCCTGCCTTTAGTATCTGATTATCTCTGTACTGATCTGTCGCGGGTCCTCAAGACCCTTTCTCCCTCCCAGGGCAGCATCACCCCCAAATTGTTTCTGATTCGCTCCTCTACCCCAGCTCCAGAGACCTCCCTTGAGGATCTGTGCATCCCTCGCTGCCTCTGTCCTTTAGGCACCGTTGTTTTCCCCCATCTTCTTGGCAGGACTGAAGAGCAGAGGTTCTGGAGAGGCCTGGGGTCCCATGGAGCTCCTCTCTGGGATGGTGCCTGGCAGTCAGAGGCGGAGGTGCTGGCTCCAGGCTCCAATTGAGAATGGCACTGGTGCCCCTGCTCCCTGCAGTCCTGGTTCCCCTCCTGGGAGGGCTTTGGACGGCCTGGGCCCCAGAGTTGGGTAGCCGTGGAGAATACACATCCCCCAAGTGCACTTGTGTCTCAGGACAGCCCCAGGCAGGCCGTGCATGCTGGCCACTGGCCCTCTGCCAGCTGTCCTGCCACCTCTCCTCATTCCTGGCCCACCAGTGTGCTGACAGCCTACCTCTCCTTCTTTATACTCGTCAGACTGCTCTCTGTCCCTGTGGTCTCCGTGCACATTGACTGCTTCTAGTCCTTCTAGTCCCTCCCTACCCTAGATGCTCGCGCCAATCACACAACACTGGAGAGGCCACCGTAAGGAGTTTGCAGTGCCACCTATGTGCAGGGCCAGGGCCAGCCCTTTGGGAACAGAGGATGCAGCACCCAAGGACAGGGCTCGTGGGCAGCCTTGCTCTGCAGGACCCTCCAGAGGGCAGCGTGGACAGGCCGAGTGGACTGTTCAGTGGCACTGTCCTGTGTATTGCAGAGGCCTGCCAGCTCAACCGCCTGCTGACTTGGTCACTTGGACAAGTCGCCCCAGCTCCCTGAGCCTATTTTCTAACATAGATACTTCTCAACTTACAGTGGAGTTATGTCCAGACAAAGCCATTCTAAATTGAAAATGTCCTAAGTCCAAAATGCATTTAACATACCCAGCCTACCAAATCTCACTGTCTGGTTACATGGTCCACTGTAACATAAGTAGCAGTTGTTTGTCCACTAGAATCATGAGAGGGTCTTCCTGTGTACCACTAGCCCAAGATTAAAATCCAAATTTCGAGATACAGTTTCTACTAAATGCATATCACTTTTGTGCCATTATAAAGTCAAGAAATCACAAGTTGAAACTTTGTAAGGCAGGGTCTGTCTGTTCATCAAATGGGTCTAACACTATCTTCTTGCAGAAGAGCTACACTGAGGGATGAATGAAGACGTGTGTAAAATGCTCTCTGCCCTCTGGCCTGAGATACAAGGTGCAATCCAAAAATATGGTGAATGTTTAAATGTTTTCTTAAAGTCCTTAAAGTAAAAGATGCATTGCCACTAATCCCCCTCAAAATATTCCCCCTCATTTTAAATGTACTTAGCCCATCGTGCTTGGCAATGTCTTTCACTGTAATTAGATTTTTTAATATGAATATTCGCCATGTGCTTTGATTACCCCTTGTAGGGGCAGAAACCTCAGAAGCTGGCACTGTAACTCAGCCTCACCTGGCCCCCAACCACAAGGCTCCCTCCAGGACATGTGACCACCCCAATGCATGGAAGCACGGACACAATGTCAAAACCTCACTGCAGGGAAATCCAGACACATTCTGGTCCCTGCTCTCATAGAGCACTGTCCATCTTCAGGAAGAGTGCTGACTGTTTAAAGCCGAGAAAAATCTGCCCTGACAGAACACGACAGCAGGAACTCTCAGACTCGTCTCGGTGCACTACAGCATGGCCAAGGGCAGTGCTGGGGCCACCTTGATTGGACAGTGCCCACTGCAGCCCCTCCAGAGGGCTGGGGTCAGCACTGGCACACACATCTCCCAGCGGAGACCCCACCATTGTGTGGAGCCCGATTCACACAGGGAGCACAGGACTCAGCTTCCCGGTGGGCCTGTGCCCACAGCAGGGAGGTGGCCTTCCACACCTGTCCCCTCCTCTGGACTGCACCCTCTTTCTCCACTGGGGCCCACTTGGCTGCCATCCTCCCCACCTCCCCTGCTTCTGACCCCCACTTTCCACCACTTTCTCTTGGCTATGGACTTGGGCACGTTCCTGGGTGAAGCCCCACAGAGGGGACTTCCGCTCAGGGTGCAGTCAGCACTTCATGGTTGAGGTCAGTCCGCATCCTGTCTCCTGCAGCCCTCCACTTCCTGCCTCCCTGGCTCCATTTAACATCCACTCAGAGCCCCACACATGTGCACACACAACATGCTCACCCACACGCCCCAGTTCCCCTCCCAGGCCCCCGTCCCCTTGCACAGTGGTTGATGCCTGGACTCTGCATTCTTGCCACAGCAGCCCTGTCCTGCCCATCAAAAATCAATGCCTGCCTTACCTCAGTGACCAGTCTACATCTGCTAATTTTGTTGCCTTCTTTTAAACATAATAGAGTGCTTCCCACGTGACTGACCTGTCTGCCATTCACGGGCTCCTGAGAAGCCTCTGCTGATCCAGACACTTTTATTCTGCCAAGAATTGGTCTGACACACTTCTCTCGGGGGTTTGTCCTCTATTAATTTGGCACAGGCTCAGTCTCTGCGACTCTTTCATGTGGGAAGGCATAGAAGGACACTGCATATGAAAAGAAGGATTTTGAATGGGAATCTGTGGATTCTGGGTCACACAGGGCCAGGAGAAAAACGAAGTAAAAAGAGACAGTTGCCCTGACAGCCCCTTGTGTCTTGATGAGAGCCATAGCAAGGACAGGGACTTGAACAGTTGCTTGGAAATCTGGTAAGGTCATCTGCAGATAACCCTGCAGTTCACAATCACCTCTTACGGCAGAAATCATGGCACAACTTGGGCATGTCATCCTAAACCCTTTCTGCCTAGTACTTGTTCTGGGCCATGGATGAATGGGTGGATGGAGAGAGATACATTTAGATATATAGATATACTTTTTTAAGAAACTTACAAAACAAAAAATTAATAGGTGCTTATTTACATATTACATGAAGACTTTTATGTTCCCAGATACTTCTCTGCAAAGCTTTCATTGTGTTTTTACATATCCTTAACTCTTACTGGATTTGCAAGCAGGAAGTAAAGAGTATAGATTTGGGACTCAGAGAGACCAACTTTAATTCCAGAGTGATCTCTTAATGACAGGTTACAATGTCAATGGAATCCAGTATAAAATACAGATGTTGATCATCTCCACTTAGGCAGTGCTGTTATCAGTTAAACAAAGTTATGTATTCTTTCATTCCTCAAGAATGTATATTAGAATGACATTTCTGGGTGCATATTTTTCTCATCATATCACAATAAGTAACTGATCAGATGTCATCGAATTTAAGAAAGTATATTTGGGTTGATTGGGCTGAAACTAAAATCCATGATGCACTGCAAAGGTTATTCCAGGGAGTCCATGCCCTGGGGTCCTGAGGGTCAGGACTGGCATGCAAAGATGGCTTGCAGCTGAGGAGCATAGAGTAATGGGGTACTAGAGTCTACAGCGTGAATAACAAGAACAGGCTTAACCCTGTCGTGGTGGATCACACCTGTAATCCCAGCTACTGGGGAGGCTGAGGCACAATGATATGAAGTTCAAGCCTAGCTTAGGAGACATAGCAAGACCCTGTCTCAAAGAAGGTTGAGGATGTAAATCGGTGCTCCTCAGTTCAGTCCACAGTACCACCAAAGAAGTTGGGGAGAGGGGGCAAGTTTATATAAATCTGAGGTTTGAAGACCATTAGGCAGAGATTTAAAATAGAATTTCAGATGAATATCTCCAGGACGGAAGAGCAAGGCAAAGCTAAGAGGGTGGGAGGAAGGTGAGGTATTGAGAGCACTGATATGTAGAGGGACCCCTATAAACAAGCCCCTGTTGGACAGGGACAGGGAGAAACACCAGACAGGCCTGGGAGTACAGCCCAGGGTGGCTCCACCATCCTGGGGACATTTTTCCACAACTTTTTATTCCCCACATAAATGTTTGCCTCCACTGGCACAGATAATTAACATTGATATTAGCTCATTAGCTAATTATTTCTGGCTTATGTTTACCAAGTATTTTATAGGTAGTTTAGACAGATCTTCTTGAAAGCCAAGTGCTGGAAAAACAGATTCTGATACACGAAGTGCCTACTCTTTGTTTTGTAGACAAATGGTTGAACCATGTAGATGACACAGTTTCTAGGCTCTCCCGCTGTCTTGCCTCAGGGAGAAGTTGAGCGTGTGTGGTAGGTAACAGAACAGAATGTGGACGTGGGTTTAAGCCCTGTTGGACCTCAAGAAAAATTGCTTAGTTTTTCTAATCTTTGGTTTTCTTGACTATAAGGAGGAGGACCTAGAATCTACTTCATAGGATTTTCATGAAGGTTGAATGGGGAGCATTTTGTGAAATGTGCCAAGTCTGTATCTGGTTCTCGTTCCTTTCCCATTAATTAAGGCACCAAATACTGGTGGGACTTCTGCATGGCAGTGGGAGGCAAAGCCCAAAAAATGCATGCTTTTATACCAGCTCAGCAAGACAGCCACGAGGGAATTATCAAGGCCGCCACCCTCCAGCCTCACAAACAGCCGAATTTTGTGCCCAAGTAATAGAAAAATCACTTCTTCTACCATTTCTGCCCACACTGGGCCTCCCTAGGCCTTTTGGTGATGCTGTTTCCTCTTCTGCTCATCACGCATCCAGGAGTCTGCTGAGGGGGCCATTGGACCTGTGTTGCCCTTCACCTCCCTTGACCTCATTCCACCCCTTAAAGTGGGGGTAGTGCTAGTACCACCCTATCTGGGTCATTGTGAGAGTGAATCAGTTAATGCAGGCGAACTGCTTGAACAATATGGGCCTGGAGTAAGCCCTCCGTAAACATTAGCTGTCATTGCCACCACCGTCTCGCCTTCGCAGGCCCTTTTGCTAATGCCCCATGATGCCCTACATGGATTGATGTGCTCTGCCTCTGTCTTTCCTCAAAATAACACAGACGCAGATCAGGGATGCTCTCTCACAGGTATTAGTGTCCCTCCACCCAGGACAGTGCCAAGCACACGGTAAATGGTCCAAAGAATCATCCAGCTGTGTCAGACAAGCCCTGTCTCTGAAGTGGCTTTTCTTTATCACTGATTTTTGTTTGGACTGCATTCCCTTGCACAAGTCAGTTGTAGCCATAGAAAGATAAAATTAGCTGGGCATGATGATGCACCTCTTTAATCTCAGTGCTCCAGCTACAACCTTTTTGAAACTAGAAATTGCATTCATAGAAAACAATTTTTCCATGATTTCAGGAGAGGGGAAGTCTTGGGATGAGTCAAGTTATTACATTTATCATGCATTTTATTTCTGTTATTATTACATTATAGTATATTATGAAATAATTATACAAGTCATCATAATGCAGAATCAGTGGAAGCCCTAGGCTTGTTTTTCTGCAGCAAGATGGTCCTGTCTTGGGGTGATGGGAGACTGAAGTGTGAGTCCAGTCTACTCCATAATCTCATTTTCGGTTGCTGTCACTGCAGAAAACCCTGCTTCACGAAGATAGGATGTTGGAAATGGAAACAAACTTTTCAGTACTTTTGTGGCAATCTCAGAATATTCTGCCTTGACTTTAATCCATATTACGTGTAGATCTGAAATTGTCTCAAAAGACCACCATTATTTGAGATACTCTTCTAGCACAAAGTCAATTCATCTGATTTATTCACAATGTTTATGGATCTCCTCTTCCCTGTTCAAGGGTCTTTTGTGATTGGAGAGTAATGCTCAAACTCTTTCAAAAGCTGAGGCAGGTGCTTGTGTCCAAGCTGGGAGAAAGAAGACCCTGTCTCAGTCTGTCAAAATTTCTGCTGTTTGAAATATGTAAAAAAATGCCAATTTGTTACCCCCATAATTCATTCGGCCTTAAATGTAGCCAGTTTATCTGTCAACTTGAACACAGTTGTCATTCTCTCCTGAAGTGACAGATGGAGTTCTTTAAGTGGGTTGAATAAGTCACACAAGTAAGCAAGTTTTGTGACACATTCTGTGTCATTGAAACATGTTGCCAGTGGTGACTGTTTTACTAAAAGAAATCTCTGGAGCAGCTCTCATAACTCAAAAACTCTGGCCAGTGACATCTCTTTAGAAAGCCATCTCACTTCTGCATATAAAACTGGCTAGGGGTGGTGGCGCATGCCTGTAATCCCAGCACTGGGGAGGCTGAGGCAGAAGGATTGCTGTGAGTTCAAGACCAGCCTGAGCTACATAGTGAGTTCAAGGTCAGTCTCAACTATGTAGTGAGACCCTATCTCAAACAAACAAACAAACAAACAAAAACAAAACTGTGTGCTCTGCATCTGTCTCCTCAAAGAGCTGCATGCACAAACATGAGTTAAGGACTCCTAACCACCATTTCTTTATGGATGGCACTGCGCACAGATTTACATTTAAAAGGAACTTCTAGTCATGGCAGCTACTTTGCCCATGCATGTACTGACAAAAAATAACCAAGTCTTTTCATGTAATCATTCAAAGACCATCTGTGGTATTGGTTGGCAACAAAAGTGAACATGCCTTCATGCACATCCTCCTGAAAAACAGATCCTACAAAAATAAGTGTCACTGCCTTATCGTCCGCACTGATAGTCAACAACCTGGATAGCATACCACAGAGACCCACCAATAACTTTTAACAGTTGTGCCTCAGTGTCTTCTGCTCTTTCATCACTGTGTCTATATAGTGCTACCCAGAAGAGGAGCACATGCTACCTTTTGAACTGCAGCCACCCCTAAAAGTTCACAACAGATGTCCTTAGCAGCAGGCAGGATCAATTCTTCACTGATAATAAAAGGCTTCTTAGCTTTAGCAGTGTGGTTAGCCACTAAGAATGATGATCTCAGTGCAGACACATTTGATGAAGTGCTAGCCCTCAATTATTGCTTCTGTTCTTTGTGTTCATGTTTTTCTTCTGAAAAAACTCTGACAGCTTATCTTTTAATGCAGGGTGCTTGGTCGCGATAAAGCAAAGCAGTTTTGAAGGTTTCATGGCTTCATTAGATAGCCAGTCTCCACATATTATACAGAGCACACTTGGTGAATGTGAATCACCTTTTGCATAGAACCTGTAATTTCAGTGGGACTCTTGGTATTTTCTTTCAAATACAGCTTTCTTTTTGTTGGCACTGTTAGGGTCCTGTTGACTCATCATGGGTCTTGTCTTCTTTCCAAAGAAGCCTTCCACTGTCATTTTTAAAACTCATTTTGTCTAGGGTTTGTTCGCTTGTGTGCTCACCAAAACTGACGGAGACAAGTGTGCAGTATGGCAAACGAGGCGGTAAGGAGTGGTAAACAAAATAATGGGCGGGCCATACCTGGGCTAAAAGTGTTGGGTTCTGACCTAACGCCTGCCACCAGGGGCAGCTGGGTAATCGGAGTACATTGACTC